TACAGTATCTTCATTAACCACAGATGTTAAAAAAAGCTATTATATTGCATTTTAGGAAATAAAAAAGGCTGAAAGTACTTTGATTCTGAGATTTCCTTAAACATTTTTTAAGAGAGATTGGTTTTGATGTCATACAAATTTATTTTCCCTATTTGCAACAGAATCATTACTGCACATTACTGCTGATTATTAACTTTTTCACCCCACTTACTGTACCTCCACTCCAAATAATTGCTTTAACGCATTGAGAAAATTTAACCCTCAGACGACAAGCACTGGTCATTAAACTAAACTGCCTGTCATTATGTCTGACAGTCTCAGGTTCTGACTCCTCTGTGAGCATGAATCACTGCCTTCCTCACCTAATCTTTAACCCTCTTCTGCGTTTGTGGAGACACACGTGTCTGAGATGCCGATGACAGGCTGACACTTTTGATGAATAGCTGTGCACTCTTGGACACAGCGACCCTGTCACAGGGTGCTGTCTTAGCTGATGATGAGGTTGGCAAGTATAGCTTGTGTTCACTGAAAAGCTTCTTCCTTTACTTCACTTGCTCTGCCAACAGAAACATTTAAACACTCGTATGACAGATTCATCTCCTAAATTAGTCTGCTTCATTCTCACTAGAAATGAACCCAGCCTGTGAAATATAGCTTCCTACACTATTTCGTGCGATAAATACCACTCACTGAAGGTCCTTCACCATTGACCTTGATTTACCGTAAAATCCAAAGTGTCCACATTATATAGAGCAGATTTATCTAGGCTGGAAATGTAAAAAAAAAAACAGAGTGCTATTGTTTTGGCATTCAGAACAGAAACACAACTTGGTACTTGACTGAAATCATAAAGTTACGCATAAGTGAAACATTAAGTTATTTGGAAGCTCATTTGTTATTAACATGGTTTTGCAGCAAAGCTGCAAAACTGGCAGGCCACATTTACTGAACACATGGATATACATTTGACTGAGTGTATTAGCAAAGCATCATAAAAGGAACCTGTTCTAATTTAATCTCTAATAACAAAATAAAGGTTACTTATTATGACGGATTTAAGAGATAATTCTTTCATAAAAGCGTTAAAGTAATTAATAGACCCATTTAGCCCCTTCAGTTGCTGGTAGCTAATTGATATCACTTACCTGATGAAAAAATACCATCTTCAACAATGTGATGGAATCACCATCAAACAAGTTTTTTTGATTCTCAGTGCTTAGTTCTTAGATGCATCTCACCTACAAATACATCTACATATTAGTCAACACAGCACATCACAGAGAATTCCAGTGAGGGGAATTAGAACAGCTGGTGTCTGCTCTTGGGTTGGAACAACAATGTAAATTCTTGCTCCTGACACTTGTAACTGAAAATAAGTGAATAGCTGACAAAGAAAGGTTAAAAATATATATCTCACAGGTTCCACACAAATTACAGCTTTTAAACCTGCCTTGGTGGATCTGCAAAGTGGTGGAGAAAAAGATCTGTCTGGATGTCACTGGACCTCGCTAAAAAAAGTCACAACTCAGCCTTCACAAGACCTATAGTCAAACAGTTGAGATATTGAATGGAAAACATTAGTAAATTGAATGATCTACTATATTCTTACAAGAGTAGTTAAAACTTGCAAAATTACAAAAGTTATGACTTCTTTTAATCCTAAAGAAGACAGAAAGGACAGCTGGAGTCGAGTTACTAGAAACCACACATGTTCCGTGGGCCAAATGACCTCATCTCAGATGACTTCTCTTTTCTTACTCTATAATGCATCAGCTCTAATGCTCTGACTGCATGGGATGAACAGGATTACTTCTATAAAGAGGCAGCCTTCAACCTTACTTAAACAAATCACATTGAACTAAAAAGACTTCTGTTCATCTATTGAGCTGCATATCACTAACAACCAGTTGTTACATTCATATAAAATCACAGGGATGTCTCACAGAGGCATAGCAACCTTATGGACAGCTTGCTAATTAGCTAGATTTCAAAGCTGAGAGAGGTATTATTCTCACATTGGTGATCTTACAGTCTGACAACCCTGATCAGCTTTATTACTATAGTATAGTGCTTTGCAATAGTCCCTAAGAGGTGCAACACATCATTCTCATTTGCAGCAAAAAAAAAAGTTTAATCTACTTTAACTCTTTCGCTCATCACTGACAGGATGAACTAAAAGGTTTTGGCTCAGCATCTCAGATTACCTGAATAAGGCAATGAATGAAGTAAACAACAGATTTATTCTGGTGTAGATAACTTATTTTGTAATAAGAGGGGCACTAAATTTTCTGGTTTGCAAATCTGGTTCTTATGAACCAGAGTTCTAGGAACAAAGAACTCCTCAAATTCTGTCCTTGAGGGTAATAGTTCAGTACATCTCCTTAAATCATATTCCAGACCAAACAGATTCTAACTTTTGCATGAGGAATAAATTGGTGTGCATTGGTGTAATTGAAGCCTTCTTGAGTTCTAGAAAATGATCTGAAGAGTTGTGCTTAAGGACCAGGTTTGAGCCAAACTAGAATCTCCATGTTTAACTCATCATGAAAATGGATTTAGTGAGTTCAAGGTAATGGAGAACTGCAAGGGTAACAAAATGTTTTTTAATATTTTAATTGCAAGTTTGATTTTGCAAATATCCCTGTTGCTAGTTTTATTCTTAAATTTTGTTAAATTCTTACATTTGAAAATGTTAAAATAACTGTATTCTGATGATTTCTGAAATAAAATGTTTAAATTATCTTCTCATGTGGACTGAAATAAACATGGGGAAAACTTCTATCATCAGCAGTCCTTTAAACTTCCATCTTATAAAATAAACCTGTCAACAGTAAAAATACTGCCTTTGCAGCCTTAGCTATAAAATACCTCAGACTTATTTTAGAAATGTATAGAACAGACAATATCATTCATAGCTCTCAGGGACATTACTCTTGGTACAAGAGTATTCGCAGCCTCTAGCTACTAATGAAACAACATTGTAATATAATATCAGTGAATATGCTTTTCATAATAAAAAACTTAAAAAAGGAGGAGAAACCATAAAGTATACAAACCAGAAATCAACTACTTTCATTTTATTATAGTCAATTGAAAATACAGTACAGTATGAACAAAATAATTATGGCAGCTAAGAAGTTATAAAAACACAAATGTTACACTTATCTTCTTATTATCTCAGCCACATCTGAAGATTTAAACTAAGATTACATGCTTTGATCGTGTCATAAAATGTATAACATCCCCTCTCTCTCTGTGTTTCTGTGTTCCTCTCTCTGTGTTTAACCAAAACCACACATCAGTAGTCATTACTGATAAACTGCACAAAATATCCCTGGTAGAAAAATAATATATATGTGATGTTTTTCTTCCCAGCCATTAAATTACCATCCAAATTTGGATTTTACAAATTGGACACATAAAAAATTAAACATACTTTGCCTTTGATATTTTAGAGTCCTAAATGCAATTTTGGAGACATAAAAATTATCTGGACCAACACTTGTGAACTCAAGAATTTTCAGTCTTTTTGTGTTGTCATCTGATGAATATACAATTTAATATGAATTGTGCTTAAATTAGAGAACACATAATGATGCCGTATGTGCAAAGATACAATCACTTACAAATTTTCCACAGTGATTTTCATGATTACACCTCATATAGATAACAGTATAATCCTGACCAGTAATATAAAATAACTTAAAATAATGATTCCTTACACTTATATTTTCTGGACATTCACTCAAAATACTCTACAGGTAATGGATATTCCCACCACCACCACCAATGTGTAGCACCCACCTGGATGATGTGCCAGCAGCCAAAGTGCCCAAGTATACTCACTGCACATCAGCTGTCAGTGGGGAGGAAAAAAAAGTGATCAAGCCAATTCATAGATGGGGATTATTAGGAGGCTATGATTAAAGGCTAGAACACTGGGGTAGGTTTCTTACCAGGTACTGGTATTAACCAGGTTCACACCTCATATACTGTAGCTCATATACAGTAACTGCTGGTGCTTAAATTCATGAAAAACAAATCAGACTTTGATTATAAAACAGTGGAGATATTAGTTCACAAACCTGCCAGTTTTTCCCTTTTAATTACTTTGCATTTAAGTACATAAAAGCAGAGTATTTTTAGCCAAGTCAATCACAACCTTTAATGTTTTAAAGTGTAATGTATGTGGGATTTGTGCAATAAGGGTTAACACAATAAAGAAGAGGTATTAGTTTAAGTGTTTGTAGAGTGTTCATAGTGATTGTTTGCTTTTTTGTGGTGCTTAGAGGAGTTTCATTTTATATTTGCAATGCTGTTGTATGGGCAGAGCGATGGCTCTGTGGCTAAGGATCTGTGCCTGTGACTGGAAGGTTGCCGGTTCAAATCCCGTGGCTGGCAGAGGAATCCTACTCCGTTGGGCCCCTGAGCAAGGCCCTAACTGCTCAAGGTTCCCAACTGCTCCAGGGGTGCCGTACAATGGCAGACCCTGCACTCTGACCCCAAGCTTCTCTCCCTGTCTGTGTGTCTGTGTCTCCATGGAGAAAAGCTGGGGTATGCAAAAAGATGCATTCCTAATGCAAGAAATGGTATAGGGCTAATAAAGAAACGTTATCACATTATCATTATGTATGGATAAATTAGGATACATTTTTCAAATAAACTGATGCAGGACTGCACTACTCTGTAAAACTGCCAGGTGGTGCTGTGAACCCTGAAAGTACCACAGCTGTGTGTGGCTGAAAATCTTATTTTAATGATATAATACTTATTAACCCATTAGTGTTTTCCAGTGCTAATCATACTGTACAGTTAGACTAACAGATTTTTTTGAATTACATACAATATTTAGAAGTGTTAGTAATTATATAAATAAATAGTAGCTAAATAGTAATTAGAAAATAGATAATTTTATTGTAGATTTTCATTGTTAAAAATATATTATACTGTACACGGAGGCTTTAAAATGTATTGTATTTAAAAGCAAATAAGTACATAAAACAAACAAAAAAAGACCAATAATAATCTGTATAATTTTCAAAAAATGACTTATGGTCACATACTGTAAGTTGCAGTGGAGACAGTACAAGTCTAAACTATATACTGTAATGAGTTTTCTTTAATGAGTTTTCTTTAATGAAACACTTTCACCAACACAGTCATTTTGTTCAGGTTTTCCTTCAGCATTTTATTCATATTGTTTCATTTCAAAACACTTCTAGTTTAATTGGTTTTACTTCCTCTGCAAGCATTTATGACATCAATAATTTATATACATTATATGTTGCAGTGTAAACTATGCAGGTGTATTTATTTTATTACCTTATTTATTATTAATATTATTTTAATATTTAGCATACTGTTTTATAAACATTTAATTAAAAACATGTCTAGGTCTAGCTAAATGTCTAGGTGTTGTTCCCTGCACCATTCCATAGGTCCTTACAACAGGCCTTAACCACCTTCATGTTTGCGATAAATGTTACACAGAGATCCTGTCTGATTTAAAAAAAACAGCAGATAACAAAACAATATCAAATTCAGAAAACCCCTTTTGTGCTGATGAGGAAAGGAAAGGAAACCTACTAAAAAACACAGCTATTTGTCTGATAATTCAGTGTTTACTTGTAGTATTACATTCATTCAAAAAAAAGAACCTATCAATTATGAATAAAAAAAAGTTACAATCAGGATTCATTTTAAAATTGTCAGAACAATGCAATTTTCTTAAACTGTCTGAATATTATTAATTAACAAATTAGTGGAATTTCCAGCCACCATAATCTGCAAAAGAAAGTGGACTCGAAGTTAACACAGTTGGACAGCACTCTAATTTGTCACATTATCAAACCCAATTTTTTTCAGCAGCAGACCAGAATACAAGTGTGTGAATTTCTATTTTATACACATGGGATATCAATATTAATTTTAATTCTAGTACATAGCTGTATAAAGGTAATATTAATCAAAACAACTGGCAAACATTCTAAATGAAACTGTCTCTGTGCAGCTAGAAGGACAACTGAGATACAAATAAAATATGTTACAAAAATCTTACATTTAAAAATTGATTGCCTTACTAATTTTAAAAATTTCACTCACCCTCCCCCCAGAAAGAAGAAATAAGTTTACATCCACAACTTAACAAGCATTACATTCATTCTTGGGACAATTTCACAGCTGATTTTTTCACATTTTCCCCAACATTGGACTTCACTGAATTTAGGTGTGATCCCCATTGCTCGAGTGTCAATTTACAAAATGTAAAAGTTAATTCATCTCAAGGAAGTTGTTAGTGCGCCATTTATAGCATTGACAACAAGGCTGTTGTGACAACCTTCAATCCTTTAAGCACCCTGAAAAGAAATTAAGTCATTACCAGTGGGGAAGCCTGACACCACTGTTGCTGAAACAAAATAAAGTTGTCCCACTAGACCCTGCTCCATTACACAGTGTTGCCTTCCTTCTTACCACAAGACTGTGTGATGGAAATACCGAAGTGGGACATCTGAAAGGTTTGATACTGTAGCTGCATTCACTTTCAAGAACATGCTTTTAAACTCCAACAGCCAATCTGCGCCTAATGTGTTGAAATACCTGCAGAAACTTCTTACATGAAAAACAGGGACATCAAATAGAGCTCATGCAGTACTACAAGTGAATTACTGTAAGTCCTTTTTTGTATAGCAGTAAGCAACAGAAAGCAGAAATAATTCTGGGCTGGTTGTATACAAACACAGGACGTGGGTGGAAATGTATGAATCTATTTGGTAGTTCTCTCCACAAATCTGCTTAAAGTAAGTATATAACGTCCCTGCAGTGGAAGCTAAAATCAAGTAATTAACCCTTCTAGAATAATGCACTTAATGAAAGCATTCTTAATAATCTTGAGCTCAGCACTCAAGTCCAAAAATATTACTTAAACAGAGAAATCCAAGGCTTATAGGTCAAGGCTCATAAAAGTCCCCCCCCCCCCCATAAGATCATACAAGAGTAAAGATTAAGATGCTTCTGTAACATGTATCTGGAAAGCAATAAAATCTAAGATTAAGCGTCATTACTCTATTGAAATTGACACATATTTTTCTCTGCCTGCATTTCAATCATAGTTTATATAGTTTTCATAGTTTAAGTTCAGGTTTTTTAAGAGCCCTTTTATTTAATCGTATCAGTGTTTTCCTGCAGTCAGGACAGGGGGTTTGAGGGGGACAGGTGGAAAAACGGATCCATCTAGTGAAGACAAAATGTAATTGCAGGCTTTCTGACCTGTCCCCTATTAAAAAACTACTGATGCTTGAAGAGAACCTGACCTTCCATACTGTCAGTACTAAATTAAAGTCACTTTCTGTGGTCAAGAAAAATCAAACTATCCTACAAAAATTCTAACATTTTAATTATAACCTCAGGTTATTATGACCAGAATAACAGGTAACAGCAGCTCAACCACACTGAATATACAGCGATGCAGAGATCCTCAGCGAGTGCATGCACACTTCAAACAAACTCCTTGCTCCTTCCTACAATTCCAAATTAACTCTGTATTATTCATTCATTATTCAAATAGCTGCACTATCCAATGAAAACACACCCTGTTCTCTATTCCTTACAAGTAATCAATAAGTAATAGCAATAAATAATCATTTGCACACAGGACCTTCTAATAAACCTTCTAACCTCCTCCACCAGTATTTCCACTGACATATCAATGTCAAGGACTGCTAATGATTGAACAAGATAAATAAGAAAATAAATAAAAAAGGATTTAGATCCCAGAAAGTGCATAAATATTGCTTTTTAGAAGCATCCATTTTAAAAAGGATTCTCTTCCAATCTGCCATATTAACCATTTTGGTGCTCTGTAAAATGTTGTTTCACTTGTGTTCTTTGGGCACAAACTCTGCAGAAAGAGTAAACGTCTTTAGGCTGTTTTGCAAAGAATGGTTCTCACTTGTAAATTGTGCAGAGTGCATAGAACATGGATTTCACAGTAGCTCAGCACAGCGAAAAAGACCCAGCCTCCGACAGGGCTCCTTCACAGCAGTTCGGTTTCGTCGTCCTCATCTTCAGACCCTGATGGACCCTGTCTCACCTCTTCATACCACTTGTTAGTTAGTGTCTTCATCTGGATCCGGCCATGAAGCAGGTCCTGGGAAGACAGATGGATGTATGTACAGAGGAAGATATTAGCCTGTTTCCAGGAACATACAATTCTGGACAGATTTTCACCTCAGTCATAAGAAACTAAAAGGAATCTATGTATCAGAATTTCGACTCCTCATGGCTGTGTCAATGCAGATATTTCTTATTCAAGCTCAAAGAAGGTGATGGTTTGAAAGTGCACAGTTGCACTGGTACTGCATATCCATCTATCATGTGTTCGAGTATTCATGAGAGAGCACTTCATACAAATGTTTAATTAGCAATGTATAAAGTGGAAAAATACAGAAACATTTTTGTTAGAAGTATTTTGTTACTTTATCTTACATTAGAAATTGCAAAACAATCAATAATATGTATTTAGTAAATGCTCACCCATTTCCCACTGATGCTTTTTATGATCAGTTTACTTGAGAGAAAATTCCTCAGCTACACATGAGGATGCCGTAGCTACATTAATGATATGAAAAAGCAGGCTTGCCAGGATAAACTCTGGCGCCCTCTGCAATCCTGTACTGGATAAAGCAGTAAGAAAATGGATGGATAAAAACACAAGTAGGAGGTCAAAGGTTTTTATAAAGGACAGATAATGACCTAATCTGCCAAAAATGTTTTTAAAAATATGAAAATTCAAACCAGAAATATATACACAGTATATAAAAGCAATGAATTCAGAAATCGTGAAGGAGGAGCAGGAAGAAGCAGTAGAACAGAAATTCACCTCCTGTGTGAGTCTGCGAGTGAAGAAAGGGTTCAGGTATCTAGCATCCAGCCACATAAAACCCTTCAGGTCCTGCCTCTGGACAAGCTGAGCCTCATACTCCTCCTCTGTCAGCTCTGACAGGTGCTCGGATTCAATTGTGTTACCCTGGAAACCACATAACACCGGAATTCAAAATGGTACCGCAGCAGGAAGCAGAAAGCACACAGAGGCCTAGTTACTAACCAGTGAGGACATTATTAAAATCTGAACCGAAATTAGTGATGTCAAATGTGAGTCAGTGAACAGGGATTTTTTTTCCCCAAAAAGCCATTCCATCATACAGTAGCTGACTATTTACTTCACAGAATGCAGATACTAAAAAGGTCAATATACTGTAAGTATGAATAGGAGGTTTCTTGGAGCTTTACTATATGTCCTATGTACTGTACTTTGGACTGATTTATTTCTTCCAGTTTCCAATTGCAACCACACCCTCTCAATGAGACAAACAGATAGGCATCTGAAATACCAGCTGTGTATTTCTGGATTAGGTATATTGTCTGACTTCCTGAGATTAATATGGCAGTTCAATACCTTTTGTGTTGTTCATTTTGATTGGCCTTTCATTTGGAGTCAGGGATTCAACTTTCGGGAACTTTGTATACCTCTGAGCAAACATTGCTGAACCTTTGATTTTTTGTTTAAGAAAATTTGAAAACCCACCAAATAAAATGCTACACTCCTTCTCATAAACAGCCGGGACATCTCTGAAAATATGAAATGGAAAATCCAGAATGATCTAATATGCACTGCTTCACAAAAACACTTGTTAGGATTCAACAATGTTCGCTGACAAACAGCCCCACAGCTCCATGACAGTCCCAAAAGGTCAGCCCAGTCTCAGTAATAAAAAGACATGCAAAACAAACAACATAAAAGGTCACAAGGTGGAATGAACCTCTATTTGTTTCTTTGCAGCCTCACACATGGATGGAGCTTTCCACTCGTAGCACAAATGGCATCCATCTTGAGCATACAAAGTACAGGTCACGCACAGAAAGCAACGCAGAGCATATCCCAGAATTATATGGTACAAGGCAGGGTTACAACATGGAAAAAATGCATTTCCCTTGCAAGGCACACACTGATCATTTAGAGATACCAATTAATGTTGTCAGCATGTCTTGTGATGTTGGAAGGAAACATGTGCACCTAAAAAAAAACATACAAACATAGGAAGAGCATGCAAACTCAACACAAAAGAGTTCAGACTCAAATCAAGAGCTGTGATATAGCAGTTAATGGCCATTTCCCCAAGCCTATCCCTAGGAAGCAGGGCAATATAGCATAGTTAACCCAAAACTTCACAGCCAACAATACAGATCTCTTAGACCTCTGAAGGGCTGGGGCCTGAATTTGCAACATTTTAAATTACTGTACTTACAAAATCTCACCCAGAAGTCTAATCCTATCGCCACATTGCAACATTGTCAAAAACAAAAACACCAAAAACACAACCCTCAATCTGACCTTTTTAATTGTCTGCAATATTTTACCCATTCATTATTTGCCACATATATTTAGTCATCCAGAATAGTTTAATCTAGGTCCAAATTCTGTCCTCGGATACAATAAATCATGATCCATAATACACCTAAATATGGTAAACACTCCTACATATTCTAGGAACATCTCCATTGCTGCCCCCATACATGTATATAAGATAACACAAGGTGCTTCTACTTGCAAATACTTGTAAATTGATGCTGATGTTCTCAGTACCCGTCTTGAATGTTCTAAATGTTCTCATGCATAAATGATTCAATTTATTTAGAACATTTTCATCTCTTTTTTTTCCCCCAACTGAGATTTTTTTCTAAAAAAGGTAAATCTGGTTGATCATTCTGCTTTAAATATAGTTTTACATGCTGTATTTTTAAATGTAGTGCACTCTATCAACTGTACATAAGAAGTAATCATAAGAAAAAAATATACATAAATGTACTAGAAGAAAAATCTGCCCAAGCAATATGAAAAGCAACAGAGATAAGATTAATAATTTTCCACTTAGACGCAATCAGACGCTTTATTCCATTTTTACAGTCAGAATTGTCTCGGTGTGTATATATGAATATACAGTATGTGCATGTAGTATGCATATAGCACACAGGTAGGTAGGAACTTTGCAGTGTTTATTACACTTTAAAGTGTGTTTTAAAGTTTATAGGTAAAAAACTTTTAACGGTAATTTAAAACTCTTTAAGAACCCTGGCACAATAAACATGCATGTCTCATGTATGCAGTATGAAACTGCTCATACTGTATAATTCAGAATGTACAGTATAATTCTGATTATACTGTACATGTAAAGCTGGTTTAGTGGATTGAAGACACTGCATCATTGAGAAGCAGCACAGGAAAATTTAATAAATAACAATCAAGTGACAAAAAGTGTTCTTTTGTTACTGTCAATAAATCGTTTATGCGCTACTTCTTGGTCATTTATTTTAAATTTAGAAAGATAGTTTCTTATAAACCATTTCCTATTTTATGGTCACTAAAGCAAATGGTCTATTTTACTTTATTCCTAATCGTTTTATGCAAAAATGTCTGTTTCTTCATCAGAATACAATGAAACTTATAGTGTGTGAAATGAGTATAAAGAGTTTTAAAGAGTGTTAATTTCTTGTTTAAACTCTGGGCTGCATTCACAATTCAATTCAATTTAATTAGCACATCTCCAAGGTGGAGTCTCAAGACACTGCCTTGGTCTCAAGATGGCATTTTAAGGTTCAGATGATGGTCTCAATTTCTGCACATGTATGCAGGTAAAATGCCCATTTTACAATCTTATTATATTCTTATTCATTCACACAGATTTCGTTTTAAATTGAACACATAGCAAGAAAAGTATGATATAAACTGTATATATAATAGCATCAGCTTTCACACTGGTGCCCCACAAATAAAGGAATGCGAATAGCTCTCCCCCGTTTAGCAAACTTGCTCTGCCAAGAAATACATTTCCTATCATTGATTTGTTAAAGAAACACCAAAAACCAATAATGTTATTTTCACAGCATATGAATGCTATTTAATTTAACAAAAAGATCTGAATGTTTGTAAAAAGCCTTCATTGTTTATATTTTTACCTATTGTGTTAATTGTGTGTTAATTGTGTTAAGTAAGAAAATAATAAACAGTATATTTTCAATATTTCATTTGAAATAACATGTAAACCTGCCTACAAGCCAGAAATTGAGTGGCTAGTGTAAATCCCTGGACACTCTCTACCTATTTGCATACATTACATCCATGCCGGGAACTGACAGAGACTGGCTTGTATTGCTATTGCTCTGCTGTACATCACTGTTCCACTGTTTGGGTGGGAAAGAAATTGTGTCTTAGCCCGCTGCTACTGCCACCAGGTGGAGCTCTTATGATTACACACACCTCTAATAAGAGAGCAATTCCATTTGAGCACAAGTTCCATTTGTATTTGTTTCTCTAAATTCTTGCACTTTTCTAATACAGTATTTTTACATAAGCTCAGCACTTCCATCATAAAGTTCTATTCAGTACCTGCCCAAACTAAGAGCAATCTTAGTCATTCTGTGTACATTGCAAATCTATATTACAATGAAACAACAAACAGCACATCTTGAAACTAAAGTTTGTAATAAATGCAGTAAACTTCTCTATAATATGTTTGTGTCATGCTTACAAGACCTCAAAATAATTCTTCCACAGTGATTTTGAATAGCTTAAGAACAATTAAAGCATTTTATCAAAAGGAAGTGAACAACAAATGTTTAGTGTTGAACCACATTCAGCTGAATCTGTTTATACATAAAAGCTGGAAGCGTTTCAATGTAAACATAAAACTGAACTGCAAGAAATATCTGGTGGTTTAATATGCAATTGTAAATATTTACCCAAATTCTCAGCGATAAGGCTGGGGTTTAGATTCCTTTTTTTTCCTTTTAGTCTTTGGTCTTTAAGTTACAATACATACATGTGTAAGAGAAAAGTAATACAAAAGTAAGAGAAGTGATTCAGTAAATAAACTGCGTGCGAAATATAGAAAATTATGATAACCTACAGTACATTGCTACATCAGCTCTCTGCCTGTTTTGCTGGCTTTGTATTTGCCAAAAGTATGAAGCCGAAACAAAAGTTTAAACCCATTCAAACTGTCTTTCCTGACAGGGATGGGTCACTGCAGCTTTTGTTCAATTTTATCGGTTCACAGTTGAAACAAAAAATACACTTTAAAGTGAAATCTTTTTAAGTTTAAATTTGATACATTTTGTAAGTTTGCATTCCTATCCATAGTGGAATGAGCATCTTTAAGAAAGAAAACAGACTAATGTTTGCATTGAAGGAATAGCCATATAATCCCAGAACCTGGGGAGATGATCTTTCTTTTCTCCACCAGTAAAACTGAGAACAAGATGTTTCGGAACTTCATCTACTCATAATAATGCCTCACAAGATAATAAAGGGTATGTGGCTTCTCTGTTCTTTTAAGATGGACACAGAATGTAAGCCATACTTGAACTGAACCTCGAGTCAAGAGAGATAACCATCACCATTCCAAAATACCACAAATGAAGCTCATCTCACCAAACAGCACTTTCTACATACCTATTACCCTCAGTGTTTCAAAAGCTTTTGGGTGCAAAAAAACGGTGCCGTCTTTAAACAGCACCCATCAATAAAAGTGAATTTAGAAACTTCAGTTTGTTGACGTAAGAAATGGTACAAATGAGAGGAGAGTATCGGCGTGAATAACATGGCTATTTACCTTATTCCATATCCCCACAACACTCTGGATAAAGATTTAAATGCACTTCCACTTTTGTGGAAATGGGATAGACGATATAGGGTCTTTTTCTTTACCATTTTTTCTGTCTTGCTCAGATTGATATCTTTCTTGTTCTTGCGGTGACTCTGGCTGTCTTCGATGTCGATCAGGCGAATGAGGGGCATTGTTCCTCCCCCTAGCAGCAGGATGGTGAAGAGCACGATGATGATGGTGGTGGTGCCAATGAGCTGCCGTTTCTCAATTGGTTCCAGACCCAGATGGAGGCTCAGAGCATAAGGGATGGCCCCTCGCAGACCTGCAAGGCCAAGGGCATGAGAACTGGGGTCTGGCTAAGCAGCAATGGGCGTTCCCCCCCTTTCACAAAATTTGCATTGAGATCTTTACCCATTTCTCCTTGATTTTAACGAAGAGATTATGTCCCCACTGCTGATGCATTTTATAAAAGGGTTTTAAGGTTTAATAAAAAGTATTGCAGTTTGAAAGTTTGTTACAGTCCATTAAACTCTATATACTGTCCATGTAATGCTGCTATCAACAGGCTGGATTGCGTCATGCTACAAACACTCAAAGGTCTTGTGAGCTCTTACCACTGAACCACATGATGAACATCATTTTGGGTGTGATCTTATGATCCCTGAAGAAGTTGAGAAGGAAGGACAGGGGGAAGATATTGACAGCTCGACCCACCAACACCAGCACCTACCCAGAAAATACAGTCAGAGAAGAGCAATGGAATCTAAATCACAATCAGGACCTGGACCCTGATAAGCTACCTCCAGTTCCATCCATTTAACTGTCCTCTAAGACCAAAGACATTTCCTAAAAAATGACAAATCAATCATATTTTCCTGCTGTATGTCACCGCCTTTAAAAAAGCCATGTTATAGAGCCTTTCTACAGGTTACTCAGATTTCAATTTTTTTTTTCTCCTTTGAGCATTTAATAGAACGTTCTTATGGTATTTTTATCAACACAAACATTTACTGATTTTCATCTGTTCAAAAATATTTAAAATATAAAAGTCTACTGAAAACATAAAATTGCACAGTTCCATCACATTTTTCATCAAGTGATGCAGAATCAAACCTCAACCACTACTATACATGAAACGGTTACACATTAAAGCATATATACTGTATGAAAGCCTTTGACTCACAAAAACATTACTTACTATGCACCAGATGACAAAGGATATTTCAAACTTGTGAGGGAAGCTGAACACGGACATTCCCAGAAAAGCAAAAACACAGGTCTCTGCAGGGGTACAAATCACTGGAGTTACACCAAAAGTTTTAAATGTAACACATTCTTGCACAAATAGTTGCAGTATTTAACTACTTCAAAAATCCAATTAAAAACATGTCTGTATAAAGTGCTATGGAAGAGTTAAAAATCAAATTCACTGTACAAAATGACCACTGACAACAATACAATCTAACTTAGCTGACACATATTTTACACCCAATATTACTGCATAGAATAAACTGATTAAGTTAAAATTAAGAAAGACTGTTAGTTGATTCCCTATGCTACCGTTTATGCTTCTCCGTAGGAAAGACTTTGTTTAAGTCTTTATGCTGCTAAGCAGTTTAGAATAATGTTTAAAGGAAATAGTAAAGGAATGAAAGCAAAGCAAAAAATCTGAGTATTTTGGTAGTTCCACTTTTACAAGTCTATTTTAACAGAGGGCAATTCTGTAAAACATCCTTTTTTGGTTATACAGTCAGTGCAGCTGAGACCAGAACTCATTTCCTTCATGTAAGTGCATTACCCCCTTCTTCTGTAAATAAATGTTCCAATTTTATTGCCAGAAGAAAGACATTGTGTGTGAAAGACATGTGAGAGCAAAGAGAGCCAGCAGACAGACTTGACTGTGCTGGGGTAGGACGTACCACACATGAAAGCCACAGTGCGCAGAGTCTGCTGCATGAGAATCTGGGTCACTGGAGACAGGTTGTGGTGAGTGTAGTGAGACATCACAATCCCGGAGAACAGTATAGCCATAATCCCTGCAAGGAGTGAGGCAAGACAGCAAGACATTCACAAAGTGTTCAGTGGGAGAAATAATCATTCACCACAAAGCCTCTCTTCCTACAAGACTTCCCCTCAATGATATAGCAGGCTTCTTTGCCTCGATTTGCAGAGAAGCTGTACCCAAAAGCATAGCTTGCAGTACAGAAAGCCACACTCTAATTCAGCCACAAGGGAAAAAAATGTTCTTGCTCAGTCATTTAAAAAAAAAAAGTATTTTCACACTAGTGTTTTGCTCTCCACTACGTGTAGAAAACACATAAATAAAGACATTCTTTGCACGAGAGTAAATTAAGGGGTTTTATTGCTTTGACAGGGATGTCTTTTTTCTGCTTTCCACACCTGTTGGCTTTTAAAACCTTCTCTTCAGCAGTAAACCCGAGAATGTGGGATTGTGACAGCTGCACCAGGAAGCAGGAGCTACTGTTAAAAACTTAGCAGAGAATAGCACTACTTATGCTATTTAATTTAATGCTTTAAAAGTCAGTGTGGATAAGGGTGTAAACAAATCAGGAATAAGTGGACTAGGGATTACGGATAAATAATAAAGAACAATTCTGAAGGGTGTACAATATTTACACTATACAGCAGTATTTATTAGAGTACCTGTGAGAAAAATGGCACAGCAGCAGCAAAGGGATTCAGAGATACATTGGACTCACCAGACAGCTTGATCCCCTCAGCAAGTCCATAAGGGAGGTAGGCAAAGATTATCATCATCCCAAATTCTAGAGAGGGTGTCTTCCTGAGATCAAAGTGCTTCAATGACTGGGAGAGAGGTGTAATTAAGGAATCAGCAATTGGTTGATTATTCATTTAATACTCAATGAAACAATTAATGTTAATGACACTGCCTTTCAATGGCCTAAATATGGACAGTGCTATGGAAACTCAATACATTATCAAGAATGCTATTTCGCACCAAAAATGAAATTCTACATTTAATCTAGAGGCCTACATTAATGAACCCATCCATTTTCTAACCACTTTATCCAATTCAGGGTGGAAGTGGGTCTGAAGCCGCAAGGTGGTATACACCATGGAGGGGACACCAATCCACCACAGGGCACACACACACACTCATGTCAGGACCAATTTTCCCAGACGCCAGTTAACCAACCACAATCCCTTTCCTCCTTTCAGAAGACATGCCACATGAGCATGGGGAGAACAAAATCCACAAAAACAGCACCCCAGTTCCAGAACTGAACCCAGAGCTGCGAGGCAGCAATGCTAAGCACTGTGCCACCGTGCCACCACGCCACCCCATCCAGAGGACTACATTCATGGAAATCTTTCTTTCCTAAAAACATCAGTTGTCACAGATCACATATTTTTTGTGAAATATTTAAGAGGGCGACAGACAGGAAGGATCAAAGCATGAAACGGGCACAACCAGCTTTCTGATGCACATTGACAGACCAAGATTTTACTTGGTTTTCTATTATGTTCCTTTCTGTTAGGATCGCGAGACTGTGTTAGTGTAAAACCAGACCAAACCTGAAAGCACTAAGTATTGCAGATTTTTTTAAAAAGCGTACGAGAGCAGAGATGAGGCCGGTGAGGGTGCCGAGCGCTGCGGAGCCGAAGAACATCTTGAGGAAGTAGCCCAGGGCCTGCAGGAAGGTCTGCCAGCCGGTGACGTTGGCGTTCTCTGAGCGAGCGAAGCCCTCGGCAGTGCTGGGTCGGGAGATGGGAGAATAAAGCAAAGGCAACACAGCAACGAGAGGGTTTGAGGAGAACGCATGGAGGAGACACGGAGCATGAAGGGGAGGCTAAAAAGTCTTTTCAAACAGAACAATTTTCTGTCACTCGACAGCGCCAACCTGCTAGTGTGTTTTCCAAAGGCTTTCAAAGCCTCACTTCACAATGTTTTAAATTATACCAGATTGCCAGGTATGCTTTCTAGTGGGTGATTGAAATCCAAACAACAGACAGTAGCTCCTGAAGAAAGCCTTTTGTTATTGTGCTGGTTGTTATTACTGTTAATGTTGACAGTCTTTCAGCGACACTTTCCTGCCTCACGTGGGGTCTCTTGAAACTTATTTGGCTGCAGTTGTTTTGGAAGCCTGAAAAACTGATGAAAAAATAAAATTCTGGCTACACAAGAAAAGACAATAATCCTCTGCCCAGCGTTGTGAGGATAAAGAGTGTCGGCAGACAGGAACTAAGCTTCCGAGTCTCTGTAAAAGGTCACTTCCACTTCAGAAGTGCATTCATCGTCTGCAAAATATCATACCTAAAATGAAGTTTAATATTAATTTCTTTATTTTAAGAACAGGTAAATCTACATTCTTTATAAATATGTGACATTTTATCTGCATGCAGTGCAATTGTGCTTTTACACATGCAGAGGTACCTTGGGAATAGACAGAAATGGAGAGGCTTCCTGGAAAACCAAGTTCAAAAGCGTGATGAGACAGATTGCCCTTTGGTTGAATTTGCTCCTGTCAATTATTCTGCTCCCAAGATACAAACTCCTTTTGTCACTGTATATTAACAGGATGTCTATACTTTTTTTTGGTATTCAAATCAAGGCACCCTGCGCCAAGATTCATATTGCATGACTGCAAAAAGAATAAAACTTTCTGCATTTTTATTTTGGACTTATAAACTTTGGGGAGTATTTGGGTACTTTTACTTTTTTTTCTTTTTACTGTGCATGAGTCTATTCTTCTTTACCATCTAACATCTTTACCATCTAAACCTTCGCAGAAAAATTCGTTACAAGTCAGAGCAAAATCAGCCTTTGGTCTGTAGAAGCTGAGCACTACCAAGTACCTTAGAATTAAGACAACAGTCCATAAAATCCATGTTTTTGTATAAATACACATGGTACCATTTGCTGCAATATGCTCCTTGGGTGCAAACTTCTGGGACAGGTTTTACTATAAATCCTTTACAGTGATAAAAAGAAATCGCTAATGCTTCAATATACCAATGTATTTAAGTACTGTATGGAAGTACCCTTACTGATGTATTGGACAACACAAACTTTCCGTAGTTCAGTTGTACAGCTTTCCTATTGGACTGCATCACACTCAATACTTACAGCATGTCAAGAAGAGAAACAATATTGTTCTCTCCGAGACATTCATTGCAAAAGGAAATTTCAAACTTTTAGCATATACTCTACTAGAATAGTATTCTAAACACAGTTTTACCTAAATTACCTAAATATTAAATACCTAAAGTGGACACAAGCCATGCGCAATGCAACGCATAGATTCACTTTGTGTACCTTACGCACTGCTTAAACACCCAACCTATTGTATAATCTGATACTAACAGGGTCAATACGATTATAATTATATACAATTATGCATTATATAATCCAATAAAAAATTAGAACTAGTAATTTAATGCACATATTTCTGAATTGGACCGATGATGTCAAAGAGACCAGCACAGGTCATTAATATCAGCTTGTGTGGAATATAGAGACTTTTATTGTTGTAGTACTATACATTATTACAGTAATGACCTAGAAACCAAGGGTGTACAGCAGTGTCCTATACACGATTTGAACCATCTCCCTCATCTCTGGTGTCAGAACCCTAACCACAACTTGCATGCTGCTGCTTGTGTGTCAAACCCGGTAGTACTGCACAGTTATTGAGCCAGTCGAGCATGCCTCAACACTGCTGGTCCAGTATGCAAGGGTTTGTCTTTGTGATGGCGATTCACTCACATTTTCAAAATTAAAGAGAAATCAGGATATGGGACTATGCAAAACATTCAGACCACATATCCCGACACAGAGTTCCAGCAGACAGCTCAAATCTGTTTACAGCTGCAGCTGCAGCAGCTGAATAATGTATGTTCTTTTTCATCAATTAATGCAGGAATAAAATGCCATTTATAAACTTCCACTTGCTTAGCTAGTATTTTCAAAATCTACTGAAGTAAAACGGCACTGCTAAGGAAATATTTTTCAGCAATTAAGCAGCAAGAATCTAGCTGTATTTGACCTTATTCATTAGAAATGAGGGTGTGCCTGTTGCCATTTCTTTTATACATTCAAGCTACAGTATGTAACATTCCTTAAACTGCTCTTATGCTCTCCTGCTCTTCACATTTGCTTTGGTTCCAAAAGGTTTACTTTGGTTTGCTGCTAAATCTCTTCAGTTTAACAACTGAAGAGTTAAAAGAATACATACACCTGAAAAAAGTTCAAAAGCCAAAAAGTTGTTTCTTCTTTCTATTTTTCACTATGAAAATAAGCTTTACTTGTTCCTTTACTGCTAACGCGTGCTGACGCAGGACCCCCTCAGACATTCATTAAATGTCAGTAGTAAAACCTCAACTTATTCCTTTACATTGTAGAGCATACAGGAAATTCTCAAACCACCAAGAAATACCTCGGTATCGTCATATGGCACATTTAACCCAAACTTCCCCACATATGCACACAAAATAACAACAACAAAAAGCAAGAACAAGTGTGCAAGCCCTGCACCAGGTAAATTTCATACCTGCTGAGGCACTAGACCATTCAAGCACGTGCAGTTTAAAGACATATGTGAATCTTGAATATGGACTGCAATTACTGCAGATTGATAAGCACTGCATAGGAATTTGGTGTGAAGAAAATGAATAATGTTAATGGTAACTGTATTCTTACAAAGTATTTAATTATTAAGAATCATCTGCTTTCAAACAGAAACAAATGTTGAAAATATATGATAGGTACAAAGATGAGATGCATCTACTGTATGAATTGATTTTTTTTTTAAATATGAACAAATTGTTCTATTTTGACTTTATATATACTCATACAGCAAAACTTGGGAAATTTCAGGAAAACAACTTTGTTAAACCTGAACACAGTAATATCACTTTAAGATTGTGCAGGTAACTGCCAAAATAAAGGACACACTTGAGTAAATGAGGGATACAAAGTATTCCAGACAGGTGTGGTTCCTGAGCAAATTAAGCAATTATCATCCCATCATGCTTAGTGTCATATAAACAAATGGTGGAGAGGCCCAGTTGCCCACTGTTTTGGCTCTCAGAGTTCTAGAGACTTGTAGAATCTATGCTCAAGCACACTGATGCTGTTATGGGGGCTTGTGACAGTCCAACGCCCTATTTAAAAAATATGTTGGCATTTCCTTTATTTTGGTAGTTAACTTTATTTAATATAATTACACTTCTATACTGTTTTTTTAAATACTGTAAACTGTAGCTTTGAAAACAAAACAAATGCAAATATAGCCGTTTACAAGAAATTACATGTAAGATAGTGTTAGGTCTTTCTAGTTCACAGGAAAGAGGCTTACTTGGTCAGTACAATGGAAACGGCATCATTCAGAATGCTCTCTCCAAACACCAGCATATTGAGCACTGGGTCCACGTTCAGAGCGTTGAAGATTGCGATGGTTGCCACCGGATCCACAGCAGAGATAAGAGAACCAAAAGCGAAGCTAGAGATTAAGAAATACAGGCAGAGAGATTTCACAAACATCACAAACAAACTGCACGACTAAATGGAAAGTATTCAAAAGATTAATTTCGAAGGCATTACGTTTGTTGCATAAGGAAAAGTCCTGCTATTTAATGATACAGTATATGACTGCAGGCCTGTCAATATTTTTGTGGTCTGTAAATCTTTGGTAGCAAAGCATTAACAAAAGTGCAACTTTAAGAAAGTAATGGTAACAGTTATTTTTGTATACAAGGTCACAAAAAAGCACACTTACCTGTCTGTCATTGTCATCTTGTAAATAACATCTGCCTGTACATTTGAAAGAAAAAGAATTGGGAAACATTTTTGCATTTAGCATGACAATAGTTTTCCTGAGATTGGAGTTACAACTAAGTGAAGAAGCTGGCAATATACTCAAATAGAATTTGCAGCACTTTATTTGAAATGGTTTCTCTTCTACTGTGTGGGACTGTAGATATCACTAATGCAAGACATAATACAGGTGTTAAAGCACTTAAGTCTTACTAGTTCGAACAAAACAAATGCAGTTTTTTTGCATTAAAAATACTTCTTTTCGATGTAGCATCGATGCCTGTTCTGTTAAAAATAGCATAGGTGCCCACCAATAAATGCTAAGACAATGTAACGTGGAGAGACAGGTAAAACCAGTTTATTTCTCTTTAAAAATGCCTTCACTGGAAAGCCTAAATCTAAATATCAGTTCTCTGTAAAAATAAAGCGAACATGTTCAAGGTTCAAGGAATTTATGAGATGCGTCAGAAAAGTAAACTAAAATAAAAGTATTTCTAAATGACAGCACCTGTCCAAGGAAGTAGATGCCTCCTCCCACAATGAAGGCTGATATGGCTGTGCCAATCACAGCAAAAAGGGTGATGGAGCCAATATTCTGAAAAAAGTTCCCCTGGAAAGAAAGTGAGCGCAAAATGTGATTTGGAAATATGTCCCAAAAAATACAAGAAACAAAAAAGAATTAGGAATAATGTAATAATCCATAAGTAATAATTCAACATGGGTTGCTTTATTTTTAGTGTACAAGAATAGGTATGTCAAAGGAACATCCAGCTGGCACAGCAAGCATCACCTAAATGTCACACAAAGGACCATCTGATAAAAGTGAAATATTCAGATCCTTCATGCAAATTGTCCTCTTTACCTTATGGAGTGAATATCCTGATTCAAATATAATCGGTGGCAGTAACAGAAGAAAGAACATGTTTGGTCGAAACATCTCCTCTTCCTACAAATAGACAGACAGAATTCCATTACTTTTCAGTTCCTTTAAATGTACAGCCTATAGCATAAATCTGCAGTATTGGGCATAGGTCACTAAGAACTCACAGGTCTCCACAGTTACCTTGGCTGAATTAAAAACATGTCATTATGGGTGAGACTTTTACTAGGGCCTTCAATTAAACTCGGAACCTATTCAACTGATCAGCACTTGTTAAGGAGCTCATTTAAAAGATATTGCTTTGTAACAAAAATTATTCACTTAATTTAAAAAAAAGCCACATGTAGTGCTTGAGAGGAAAAACCTATGCAGCAAAGACACATTAAAAAAAAGATAAAATGTTGTGCATTACCTTGAACCAACATCATGGCATTCATTTTAAAGTAAATTTGGCATTTATTCAATGGCTGGCTATTACATTTGAGATTCTAAAATTCCATGTGGGACATTAACAGTGTTTAATCATTTTTTTTAAAGTACCAGAATGTTTGCATACCTTGTACCTTTTTCTATACAAAATGTTCCTATATGTAGCTTTTAATAACTAAACACTGATTAATGAAAAAAAGGTTAGGTTAGGCTTCTGCTAACCTTATCCTGAAGACTTTGCATGCACTATAAGAGTCAGGGAAGAAGACAGCACAGGGAAGGTGGACACACCTTCAAATTAATCACTGGTGGCACATTGTAAAACAGTGCTAACAGCTTCTCAAAACATTTACACCTTAAGCTAAAAGATGCTCCAGTAGTAATGCAAGTTGCCAGCTAGTGCCCCATTACAAATCCCTGTTCTTATATATGATGGCCTGCGACATCAGAGGATTTATCAGCACGCACAAGTTCCACCCAAGCTGCAGAGATAGGAGGTGACCTGACAATAGCTGTCCTCCCTGACCTACATATCCTGTTACTGAAAGCTATTCACATGCATCACTACATCAGATCAGCTTCTGCCAGTGAGGAATGGTGGCTCATCCTTACTTCTTGTTTAGCCAACCCCCCCAATGTGCAGAATTATGAAGCACAAAGAGCCAAGGAAGCCAAAAACCCAGCCCAAATCTGCTTCTACTACTCCCATAGTCCATACTTCTAGGAATAAATTACCAGTTAAGGGACTTGATGAATTCTATACACAGGGCACAATGTCTTACAGCTAATCTGCAAGGATTCCCTGCTACCGTGCCATGAAATGTATTATCTAACGACATTCATTTTAGGCTGAATTCTGGGAAATATTGAAGAATCTATTAATAGCACTTCACATTGGCGTTATTTAAAATATGTCCGACGATAGAGAACTGGTGTAATTTGAAAACAATGGCACTGATATATTTAAACTTATCTACTTTCTTTTGTATCCTTTTTTGCTTGAAAGATTCGTGAGGCTGACTTACTGGACAAGTCACGACAAAAGCATACACAAAGAGCAGTACCAGAAATGGAGATTGATTTAATGACATAATGAATCAGATAAGATTAAAAGGATTCAAGGACACAAAGGATTTGGCAAGAGAGTCGCCTTAAGATACAATCTATTTAATTACACAGTGAGAGTGAAATACTGAAATTATAAGGAATCTTAAATCAAATCCATAAAACCTCTATTTGGCAGATAATGCATGGTTGTCTTGAGAAGCACAAGACAAACGTTCATCATCTATCCTGACTATTACAACCTTTGTATCAGGTCTAAAACTAGTGGAGAATGCGAGACACCCAATTCAAACCAACACACCATTATCATCATTACTATCTCAATCAATGGTGGTTCTGCAAGAAGAATGGAATAGAACAGAGCTGCAGATATTTCAAAACCTTGAAGAATACAGCCCTGTTCTGTTCAATTAGTTCTTGTTAATCACAAAGGTTTAAAATTGTATTTGGTGGAGGTTCCTAGCTGATTGGTCAGTGACTGTGCAGGTACTGGAAAAGAAATAAGTGTGTACAACATCCAGAATTATTATTTGGACATAAATGTAGTGGTGGGATAAGTTAATTTTAAAAAGTAATTTGTTGCAAGAAGAGATTTTTTTTTCCAAAGAATAAGATGTTGGGGAAAATTGGTCTTCATTTTCCATCCCTATTTCTTTTAAAAAGTATTATGAATATTTTATTATTTTTTTTTTAATTTACTCAACTTGAAAATTACACAAGCTTGTAACTGAGAAGGATTGCACTTTAAACGTCACTTTCACCATCGCTGTCTTTAGGTTTGTCAATGTAGCACACAGCAAGGCTGACTTTGAATATCATCTCCAATGATGCCAAAAGTAGTCACAAATAAATTGCAGTAGTTAGTTAATCTAAAAAAATAATTAAATTCAGCATTACTTTTAGCTAGTTCATCTTCTGCACATAGGGAAAGGATTTTGTTCAACAAAATCAACAGGTTTAGCCTACTCACAAAGCACTGATAAACGCATATTATAAATTCGTGAAGCTCAATTGATAAATGTGTGTTATATACTATGTGTTTTCAACTACTGCTGGCTGCTTTCAAACCCTCTCTTGCTAATCTGAACATGTTATTTATTTGCATTTTTCTTTGGCTAAAAGATATAAAGGTATATATAAAGATAGATATAAACCACTGTGAATGTAACAGACAGTATTCAGCACTCATAAACAGACAAATACAGCATACAAGATGGTATTGATTGTGGCACTGGGTGCTTTCTGCACAATTTGTGTTTTCTTCAGGAAATTGTGGTGGTGGGAAAGTCATTTCAATGTGTTATTCAAAGAAACTCAATCTGACCTGCTCTGGAAATATACAAAAATAACTTGTTAGTGAATGGGCTTTTGCAGTTACTGGAATCAGTGACTCAGCGCTTCAAACAATAGTTTGTTCTCTCAATATAATGAGGAGAGACCCTGCACCAGTGATCTGCAAGCTCGAGAATGTTAATTAGTGCCTGTGGATGTATTCAAATAATTGGAAAAGGAGGCAAAAGAGGCAGATGGTAAATGAGGCTTTCTGCAATATGATGAAGGCCAACAGCACTTTTCGATAGTTATGTATCTCTGAAGGCACACTGCTGTCAGAATGAAGCAATGAAATGATGAAAATACACAGTAAATATGCTTATGAAATGATGGGTATATAAACATTACAATTTCATTTTCTACTAACAAAACTTTCAAACTTTTTTCCCCCCATAAGGAATGGCATTTAAGAATTCATTAATACTATCACAAAGTTGAAGTGAAGAAAGCTGCCTTCTTCAAAGGAACATTTTGCAAGAGATTTTGCTCTATTCTACGTTAATAATTTAGTAAAAATTTAATTTAAGAGTAAAGAAAAAATTATTTATAAAGGCAACATTATTATTACTGACTGCTAATAACTACACCAGCACTGCAGTTTAGGAAACTAGAAGCCCAAGAGGGAGAACTTGAGCCATGTAACCTCTACCAACCCCGTACCAATGTTGGTTTATGATGGATCGGCAAATGATAATATAATCTAGAGTTGTGTTATCAAAGTCTCAACACAACTGTTGTTTACATTGACAAAAAATTGCCCAGCTGACTTCATTCCACCAAACCTTGCCAGCGTTCATGCACCACAATGTCACTCTTAAAGATGCCAAGTCCTTAAGTCTGAACTCGAATCAGCAACCTCCAGGTTATATCTCCAACCTTGCAGTCTAATCATGGCCTCATTTAAACAACAGCAGTCCTTATGCTGCCAGTTTAATCTTGTCCAACAAGGTCAACTAGCTGTTTCATAGTATCACGACCCTGGATGTCTGCAATGAAATGGTTTTGACTTCTTTGACAACATTTTGCTAGAGCAAACACCTTTTGCTTTCAAACATGTCTTCCTGCATGATTTAAATGACACACAAATCAACCCATGAAAATGAACCACCTTCTGCAAGTACAGTGGTTCACTGTGCTCTTTATAACTGGAGAACTTTCCTGTTTATCTGTGCTGATTGCTCCCAAACACACAGTGTTAACTGCCGATACTGAATTACAAAACTGAAAGGAAACATTACCCCTTGCAGTACTGCACACCAATGCAAACAAGTCATGGCAGACAGATCCTCCACTTACTCTGAATTTGCATACAAGCTAAACTGAAGCCAGACCTGTACAGGTAAGTTTTTCAGGGTGGCAACCAGTAATCTTTATACATTTTTTGTTATAAAAAATTAACCTACAAACCTACCTTCCAATTTGCCAGCTCTTGGAATTCTATAATCTTTATGAAAGCACCCATTAGGATACCTGAAACAAAATGAAAAATTAGTTTAAAAATTAGTAGGGGATTACAAAAGTGTCTGCAGTAATAAGACAAATGACCATTATTAAAATTATTTTCAGGGACAATTCTGGTTTATAGTCTACATACACAGATGAGGCACAAAGATGAGATGTTAAATATTTTCAGATATACTGTAGAAGGTACTTGCTACAGAATAATTTTCCATTTCCAGTAAAGGATGTTGCTTTCAATATGAAAAGCAATCTCTAGAGCAAATTAAGCTACCACTGTAATCTGCACACCTAAAAAACAAATACAGATTCAACATCAATGGCACTGCAAATAAAATATACATATAACTGCTTATTTCAATAATAAAATCTGTAGTGATTGTATTGCATCTTAGCCTAAACAGGATTTTAATGACTAATTGTTTCTGACAGGAAGGAGAAAACAACAGTTTCAGCTTTCAGCATCAGGGAAAAGAGTTAATTAGTTTCTGTGGAAAGACAGGGTAGGTAGCCAGAGGCCACAGAGCAGGGGCAGGAAGGAAGAAAAACTGAATTCAATAGAATCAAAAACTTTAGTTATCTGCATAGATCTTCCATTCAGTCGATCTGTAGATACAAAGGAAGCCTATGCACATTGGAGTCATCAACAGACCAAAGTTGAAATTACACACAAAAAACACTTTGAAGGGGAAAGAAAGGAAAGAGCTGTCCAGTAGTAAAAGGAAATTACTACAGTGTTACTTGTCATCCTTTTTCCATACAAAATAGATCTCCAGTCTTGGTCCTGGGCAGCTCCTATCTTATATATGTCTTAAATGTCTCCCTAAGTCACCTGTTTCTAAAGACTGAAAATACTTGATAAATTAAGTAAATAACATGTTCAAATAAGGGGACGCTGGTTCTTGAGGGCTGAATGACATTCATATTTTTTGTACCAAGTTTTATCTCCACATAACTTCATTTAACTAACTTCTTAATTGATCACGACTACATTGTTCAAGTTTAAAAAAATTAATGAAGCAATGCTTAACTATACAGCCTGCCAGGACTGCGCTTTTCCAGGAACAGGGCTGGAGACCCCTTAGAGTAATTGGTATATTGTAGTCAGCACATATTTCTCACAACAAGGTCAGCACAATTTAGGAAGGAGAACTGAAGGAAATACTTCATAAAGACGGTGGTGGGAGTCTACTGAGCTTTGTTGTTGAAGTCGAAGCATCAGTTTTTTTAATACACAACTGGATGAAACCCTCAGGTTATCTTGCTACGAAAAAGCAATCATCAAGTTATCATGTTACGTGAGATATAAGGTGCCCCCTTGTTTGCAAACAATCATAATCAATATCATAATGAAGGATGTTTAACATGGGAGAGGGGCCAGAGTTAGCCTCACTGACCGCCTACTGTACCTGAAGAGGTGTACTCTACACACCACAATCAGATGTCATAAGAGTTATTCATGGATGAATATCTGAATATCAGTTACACTGAAGACCATTGTCAAAAGAGGTACAATTAAAATAATTCTGTCACTTACCAAGAGAAACAACTGCAACACTTTCTGGCAAGAAATGCAGTTTATACTTAATAAGAAGATGCACCAATATGATGCAAATACCTAAAAGGACAAAAGGAAATGGAACATTAAGACAAGGATACCAAATGCTCATTCATCAACACCTGAACTCTTAATAAAAATAAACATATTAGCATATGTTTAGCTCAGCCTTAGAACTTCAAAATTGTGGTCCATGTTTTTGTGTCCATGAGTCATACAGTCCTGAGTAAAAATATGTGAACCCCATTGTTTTTTCACATATTTTAAAACCAAAAATGTTATGAGATCTCAATCTAAGGCCTAACACTAGATAAAGTTAACTTGATGCACGAAAAGACACATAACTTCATACTCTTTCAACATGTATTTTCCTCACATGATGCAAGATCAATTTTCAGGTGTGAAAAAGTATGTGAACTTTCAGGTCCAGTGACTGGTGACGCTCTCTTATGCAGCAAGAATTTCAACAATTTTTTTCCTGTAACCACCAATTAACTCCCTCACATTGCCATTGAGGAAGTCTGGCTTTTCCTCCTTACAAAAAAAAGTATTTAGCCTGGTGACACCTGAGGGCTACCTTGCACGGACAGATCACTTCAGGCCCTGCCCCAGCGTTTCGATGCATTTTATGTCCAGACTCTGACTGGGCCATTGTAAAACTGGGAATTTCTTCTTCTGCAGCTGTTCCGATGTAGAACTGATCTTCTTTTAAGGATATCTTCTTGCTGCATGACTCCCCTTCAGTTCAGCTTCAGGTCATGGATGAGTGGGCTGACATTCTCCTCTAGAATCTTTTGCTACTATGCAGAATTCATTGCAAAGCAGCCTTGACAGCTGGGCAGAGGGTCTTCTGCTCAAAATCAGTGCTTGGATTTTGCTAAATATAACATTTCTCACTGAAGCCAAAGGGTTCTGTCCAGAGAACACTGTTCAAGAAGCCCTGTGGATCATCTATATGTTCTTTGGTGAGCTTCAGGCAGGCAGCAGGCATGTTTTTCCTTTTGGAGGCCAGTGGTTTTCTCCTTGTTATTCTTCCATGCACTCCAGTCTTGCTCAGTCATTGTCTGATGAGTCCTAAGCACTCACTTTAGCCAGTTATGCACTTCCTTGGATGTACAGTAACTCTGGTATTTGTTTATAACTTCCCTGATGACTTTCCAGTTGGTTATGGGAGAGCTTTTGGCAGGATGACTGCTCCATACACTTCTCTTTAGAAGACAGCTGACATATAATTAATCAGGTTATTTTATCTCCATCTTAGACAGAAATACAAACCAGGAAAAAGACTATTAAATTTTATACAGTATATACTGCACTGCTTTCACATTAAATAAATAAAGTAATTGTTTCTCACATAAACAGGTCTATTTCTAAGCCACATCTGTTAAACCTTTTACAATTAATTAGGACTATTATCCCTTCAAATTACGTTAAAATTAGCATCAGTGCAGAACAGTTCTAAACACAGAGTTTAGTTGCTACTGGGCAACAGAGCATTTCTTTTTCCACTTAAGTTAGCAAGTCCACAGATTCCACAACTGTAAAACAGAGAACTCGCTGAACAACACCTGCTTCTCAAAATCCTACTATACTGTACCAAAGTCAAGACATGTGCAGTCATCATAGTTCATTATTTCACTCAGTTGAAGAGCAGAGAAATGGTCAAACACATTGGTAGAACAACACAAACATCAATCGCTCCATGTGCATTTTATTCTGTGAGCAAACATTTGGGTTTTAGATCACTAACAGAACTTACCTGCACCTAATTGTAAAACTGCTTCATACTTTACGAACTGTGTTTCTTGTCTTCTCTTTACAGCATGGAATAAACCTCATATGTGCACTAAATAACTGGACACGTGAATGAGAATGGAAAGCAAGTGAACTAACAAGAGGGTGTCCATGGTAAATGAGATCCTGTCCAAATTACAAACCATATCTCCACATTAATATTAAAGCAAAATACTGTAGTAGATTACTTACACATGGATTAGTCAGTACTCAGCACTGGTAATAGTGTAAGGATAATTATTAACATTTTAACATCCATCAGTCCAGGAACTTGGCAAATTTGTAACTTATTTTTATGCCATGCTAACACAATCAATTCTGTATAAGCACAGTGAAACTGTGAAAGGCAGGAATAAACATGCACATAAAACAACAAATTCAGTGATTCTGTACAGTTTGTTTTGAGCTGGAGTGAGTAGAGTCAAAACCGTTTGAAATGTGAAAGTGTATAATTGGCTACTATAATAGTCCAAGCTCGGCATATGAATTATAAGCAGTCCCACCTATACCGCCAGACATGACAATAGATTACAACACTTGAGTCTGACGCCTGAGAGACATACAGTACCTGCTGTTCATGCTTAGGATTCCAAAGTGCGCTTTTTATATATGCAGGCTCTTCACAATGCTTATTTTTGAGGCTCAAATTATATGACAATACATCTTAATGTATATTACAAGAAATATTGCAGTTGAATGCAAAAATACCTTCAATAATAATGCACACTCTAAAAGAAACTATTATGCTTTTATATAAGATTCACAATTATAGGGCCCTATATAATACACAACATACATAGAAATTAGATTTTCAATGTGCACAGTTTTAGAACTATCTGCTATTTTCCCAGTTGTGTACATAACTTTTTTTTATTTTACTAACTGGTCAAGAGTGCACAAGCAGAACTTTAAAAAGTACTGGGGAAACAGTCTTGCAGATTCCAGGGAATTACATTTTACACTTGACTGAGGGAAACATTTCAAAAGTCTATAGTTTACCTTTACCTGTGTTTGTAATAGTTGAGGAAAATTGAGTTGCAGCTATCAGAAATGGCTCCCAAGTATAGATAAGACTTTACTGATCCTGAAGGGAAATTGAGGTGTTACAGGAGCCCAGCCCATGACAAGCAAAAGAATGTATATGAATATGGCCTGCTGGAACATCAATGACTGGAATATGGACTACAGAACCACAGTCTAGTACAGAAATACAGCCTATATCATACATATAATTTCATATACTGTATGCATTACAATTGTTCATTGGGTACTTACATTAAATTATGTGATGCTATTCCTAAATTCTACAGTGGAGACTCTGGGGGTTCTTTTCCTAGTCAGTATTAATCTGGTGGACCATGTTCTAGTGGTCCAGATTTACTGATGTGATCTTGCCCCACCCCACTTATGGGACTCACCAATCACAAGCAGGCTGAAAAAAATGGTCATCCCACTGGACTGCTCTTCCTCCTGGGCCTGGACCCCTGTCTGCACTGGCAGGATGGGCTTTGGAGGTGTGGGAGGCACTGGGGTCGTTGTCTTGGCAACAGCAGTGGTGGCATGAATTGAATCATTACCAGCAGTTTCTGTTTCATTCAGCCTGCAAAGGAAACACCAGAGGAAAAATAACAACGTATCTTGAACACAATTCTAAACTTTCTTATTTTTATTTTCCCCCCCCATCTGGGATAAAATGCCAATGATGCTGTAAAGGACCTACTGTGGGAAGCAGTCACTCATTCCAAGTGTTCAAGTTTCTTTTACCCATTTACAGGATTTAGCTCCAAACCTGCATTCATGTACAGTGTACTGTACTGTGCAATTGATAATACTGAATTCTCACTAGTCTTTAGTATAAGACTCACTAATCAAACTTCTGCCAATTGCCATTCAGAAACTCACATTTGTGACTTTCACACACTTTAAAAGTTTTGAAGTGGTTGTGCACAGCAAGACCATGTGACTGAGTGGATTCCAGTCTGAATGGACAGCAGTTTGACATAAATGTGCTTAGTAGGTTATAACCTTGAGCAACATGGATTAATACAATTTTTAAACCATTTGAAACGTGTTTGTACATGAGTTTAAACCAATTGACTTGTAAATCTTACACACAACGAATGTTGTATTTCAATATCTATAAACAGTATGTAAAATACATAATAAGAGTGTTCAAATTTGTGGGTGCATAGTAATAATGACACTATATGCTTAAAAGAAGAATCAATAGAATAGTGTAATTTTTTGCTTTTCAATTATTTGATTATTTCACCTTTTACTCCATTATTTACACTCTTCCTTACCACAGGAGGAAATTGTGACATAGGTTAACCACTAAAGTTTGTAACCCGCTGAAGTGAAACTTGACTAAGACACTCCAATCATTTTGAATTTGATTATCAAACCCCATCATTGTTTTCTATTTAAAAATAGACCATTTTTCAACCCAAGCATCACACAGATACAATTACCAAGATTTTTAAAATAATTTACTAAGACTCAATAAGCATAAGTAGGCACAAAGTCTGATAGCATTGTATAATTGAAGAATTACAGAACCATTTTAATCAGCATGTGTTTGTAGATGGATTTAAGAGCACCTGAATATGCTGGATAAATCTGAGTGAATATGGGTCTGTTATACAAATTTAATGCTTCAGGTAAATTTTCCCTATTGCATATAAATTGTAATTGTGACAGAGTTTGCACGTAGATGATTAGGGACTAATTAACCTATCCTTAATTGACATGTTAATGTTATGATGATTCATGCTGGATGCTGGATTTGATGGATTTGCAAAATATGTTCTAAGTAATGCTGATCTTATTCACTTGTAATGGAGGTATTATGCCTAAAAATAATATAATAGCGAAGTTTTTTTATCTCTTTCAGTTGCGATTATCTTGATGAATTTTTACACAAATGTCAGTTTTAAATATGAGATGCTGGGACTGTATTTTGCCCCAATCTGAACCTAGATCCTTTATTATATACTTGCTACTTTAAAGCTCTCACACAGTTCTTTCATGCAGACTTTTCACTGTATGACATTTTCAATGAAATATAACATATCCTTACGGATTTAAAATTGTGTTTGATAGGCTATATTGTAAGTTTCATTCCATTGTTAGAAGCACAAAACAAAAGTTTAACAGATTTTCAGATGACTATTGCAAATGAAGCAGTTAACATTTCAATTAACCAAGGAAAACAACTGCAATCAGTTGTGTTGAGGCATCTTTCAAGGTTCTTCAACATGGGTATGAAGCTGTAAACCTGAAACACAACTACTAAGATGTAAATTGTGGAGAACACTTCCTCATTGAGCTGTAGTAAATTATATATGACCAAATACTTAGAATTGTTTTGCATATTACTGTAAAACTGCTCAACTGTCATTAGCTGTATGTGCCTGGGTATCAGCCCAAACTGATTCACTGTCCACAACAGGTGTCTCACACTCGGTTCATGGAGAGCCTGAAGTCTTCTGTTTATTGGTCCATCTGAGCATATACAGTACTTACAAAGCTGGTTTAATTATTTAATTAACTGTATAAATGTAATACTTCTAACCAGGGTCTTAGGTGTTTCATAGGTATCTTTATCAATAAGAAAGTGAATGTTTTAAATCAATTGTAAACAACCTTAAGACAAAATGCTAAATGCCGTATATTTAAGACAATAATTGGGTTTAAGTGTTTAATTGACTAGTCAGTAAATTAAAGACAATAAGCCCCCCACGTCTACCCACAACACCAATCTGAAATACTGTATACAGTAAGTGAAACTGAACTCAAGACGAAAATGAAGGTAGCAGCAATACAAGAGAAGATAAAGCTACCTGATGGACTCTTCCAGGGACGCTTTTCCTTGCACATTTTGATTTCTGTCTGGATCCCTCTCTTCACCTCTTTGATTACCACCTGTCGTATCACCAGCTTTATCGATACGAACACCATTCCTTGTATCGTCTTCAGCTCTAGCATGCACAGATATATCTTGCCTGTTTAAGCCGTGTGACAGACAAGACACCGACAGCAGCAAATAAAGGCAAGATGCCCCTTTACGGCCCAACTGTTTTACAACACGCATCGCTGACGCTTTTATTTAAAATACATTTTTAAACTGTAAAACGGGCTCCGAAACCATTTTATACCCACTTATGCATATACCACATCACCACTCCAACTTCCTGTTTAGCCGCATTTCCAGCGTGCCTGTCGGGAATTGTAGTAATAATTTCTTGTCGTGTGGTTACACAGATATTTCTTCCAGTTGTTTATTATTTATACTCTTAAAATCGTATCAACAAATAAGGGATGCATTAATTGAAAGGGATGAGAAATAAGATACGGGTAAAAAAAAAAGGATAAACATGCATACGTTTGGACTACTATTCCCAGAGAGCATTGTTCATACCTGAGCTCATAGGGGCCCTCTGGTTTTCTCTGGGATTTGTAGTTCAGTATATTTGAAAGATGTCTTTTCGTTTTAACCCACACTGTGACGAATGTTGACTGTTTAAATATAGGGTGTTTTCGTATTTCACTTTAGAGTATGTTTTGCCTGCAAAGTATTAGGTGATATATTGTAGATACTAAACAACATATTCTCATTGGATAATACATGTGCAAAACAACATGCTACGACGTGTATTTGTATTGGTGATGTGATGGTAATTTACAGAAAGTTGTGGTGAATTAAGAGTGATGAAAGAAAGGCATTTAATAATATAAATTAAGAACAAAGGTCGGAGTTATTTTACTTCTTTCATACATTAACGACCCAGTTCAGTTACTTTGCTGTTATGCCTCCCTGATTTTGTCTTTATGTCTTCATTCAGCTTATCTCTCTGCCGGATTCGAAACAAATGAATGTGTAGCTCCAGTGCCTCAAACTCACAAAGCATAACAATTCATATATTTTCACATTTTATATATGCTGCTAGCTAAACCTAACTGAGCATTAAGCTCAACTTGAATGAATGTCTAAACTGGAAGGTCTGGCGTCTTCTGGTTTTTCTTCCAAACTTGCAGTACTAGTCAATTGAAACCTGTTTTGTTAGACACATATACAGTAAGTGATTTTAAAAGAGTACTACTGAAAACACAGTTGATCTAATTCAATAACTATTATTGGATAATTAATTTATTTTCTTATTTTATTTACTACTTATTGCGTAATTTTAACACATCTCACCAGGCTCTTAGGTGTTTTAAAGGTGCAGGGTAATTGTACATGTAATGAAGTGAGGGGCATAATGAACTGTAAAAGACCTTAAGAAAAATACACTATAACCATCCTTCTATTTCCTGAGTGGATGAATTTCCTCATCTTAGAACCAGTCTAAGCTGTTGTCATTGATTTTCCACTGATTTAATTCTGATTGGTCCCTTCCCTTCAAAGTCTCATTACGAAAATTGTCAATCTTTGCTTTGAACTCCACCTGTAAGGTTTCCAAATTTTCCCTAATGTTTCCCTCACTTCTGTTTGAACCACAGAATAATAATACAAAATGCATAAGATTTTTTTATTTTTATGCAAACCTATTTTTTCCTGCTGGTTAGTGATAATTAGCAAGCAATTAATGCACAATTTGATGTAAAAGTTAAGTTTTTGTTTAAAGACAAGGTAAGCAACCCTTCCTGTCCTGATGTATCATGTTGATCTGGTTCCAACTAGAATCTCAGGAATTACTATCTCCACCCACCATGTCCTTCCCTATCTTATATTGGAGGGATATTATATTATATTTCTGAGGAATATTCTAACAATACTGCTGCCATATGTAAAGGGATATACAGTATTGTACATTACTTCAAGTCTGCTATAGTACAGATATGAGAAGGTTAGCTCGGAACCAGCAAGAGTAGTCTATATGGGGCAGCAATGAAGATAAAGGTCTTTTTGTGATGCTTGTGGTCTTCTTTCACCACTGACACTGTGTGTGTAACACGTTCTATATTAAAGAAATAAGAAGTGATCGAGGTCCTATTTCTGTTGTGAGTCACAAAGAAGATGACAAAATGCATAGTTTACATTGTAGTTTATACTGCAAAAAGTCTGTGTTTTTATGTTTCATCTGAATTAAGTAAAGAATCTAATGATACAATGAAACAATCAATGTCCATTTTTGTTGAAAGGATTCATGAACACACTATACTCTCTATGTGGTGTGTATTACAAACAATCTGTAGGTAAGTGCACTGCCATTGGTCTTTATTGAGTGCAAAGTTAGTGCAAAGCAATTCTACGACTCAGATTAATAATTAAAGGATATTGACTTTGCCTTGGGACTCACTCCACTGCCTGCACTTGTCCCACAGGAAGTAAGCTTTCTGTGTGCCAACAATGACAATTTCTAATATGACATTTTTTAAGCCCACCAATTAATTTTGCTTCTCAGTATAAACAAGGCGTTACTGTATATAATCCTTCTTATCTTTGCTGATATGTGAAGAATTTGCTGATATGTGGAGAATCACTGAAGGCAGTTTCATTTATTGTGGGCAAGGAAATGTGATCCTGGAAAAATGGTAGGCTATTAGCACAACTAGTATCTTCTAATAGTAGCAAGAATTGTTGTTTCACTTAACATTTTGCTCTTTTCTTATTAATACAATATTTGTTTTATTTACGGATCAAAGCTCTTTTGTTATGTAATGAAGCTATGCTTCTGCTTCTGTTTATTTTCACCTACCATAATTTTCCATTGACAGAGATATGATTATTTTACTTGAAATAGTCCTGCTCATATGCTCATAGGCAGCCCAAGAAGCACAGGAAAACCACGCACGTTCACATTAACTTCAGAAAACTCCTCATTCCTGTGTGCCATATCCTCTCCAGCCAACCTCCCCGCCTTAGCTCTCACCTTCACTGTATGCTTTCCTCTGTGTTGGACTCAGTAGTGCACTTTCTTAAAAGCTTTATCTGAAACCTACAGTAGATTCACTTTGACAGTGAGCAAAATACTACTTATCTGCCCATATGTCCCCAGAGAAAGGTCATTGTTTAATACAAACCAGTACTGACTTCCACTGCTGTGCATAAATCTGAGACATCTTACTCACAGTCAGGTGCAAAGATTAATCGCAAAAACTTTTGTTGTTATTAATACAGTTAAATTTGTATGAAAGGAAACCACGTTCAATATTTTCCCACCATTAATTCATATTCTCCAGCTCCTTCAAACCTTTTACAACACAAGGTTTACAACAACAAGATTTACAACAACACAAGGCAAACTATATCTGCCAAGTATTGTAGGAATTGATTCATCACATTCACCCATTCAGTTTAATCAAATTCATTCTTATGTGGTCCTGGTCATTAAAACCATGTGTCTTTATATTGAAGCTTAAGACTATGTTTTAATTTATCAGCATTAAATGTTATTGTAAAACACAATGAACACAATTCCAGTCAATCACTATAGAGTTGCGTTAATACAGTACATAAAGAATAAGGGAAAAGATTAGAGAAATGGAAAATGTATCTGTTGTGTATGAAAACTTGATTAAATGCAAAAATCCCACAAAGAAAAATAAAATAATGAAGTCTGGAAGGATGCATGCTCAAGAAGAAACAGAAGAACAAATGGATTGTAGAACAAAGAAAGATCTGCAGGAGTTTTGAAAGTGTGAAGAGGTAAAAATGATCATGAACCAGGCACACTGGAAGAAGAATAGAACAGCAGTGGAGTAAAAAAGCAACATAACTGATCCCAGTACGGGTCACAGGAAGAACTGGAAACGAAACATGGAGTAACCTGGAAAAGGAATGACAGTTTGAGAGCACAGGAAGAGAACCGGGGAGGGCTCTCATCCAACACTCAATTCTTATTTAATTATGCTAAATACATTCATTAAATAATACTGAAGGCTTTAAGATCAATCCTTAAATTGCAGGAAACAGGCAGTTGAGGATTGTGCCTGTCTTTGGATTGAGAACTGGCTAATGTTTGCCCTTCTAGACAAAATGGGGGGCCAATGAAAAATATAAGAAGAATGTTTATTTAGCTATATAATTAAACGTGTAGAATTTAAATCAATGGATGTCGTATTAAATTATACCGCTGCACTAGTATAATTATAATTAGCTAGACCTCACTTAGAATGTTGTCTTTATTACAAAAAAGGATTATTCTGTTCTGGAAAAGAGCAACTAGACAAATTACCAGTCCTAAAGATCTGAATCGTTTTGGTTGTGTACATACTGTAGAGGAGACCTTTTTCAAATATGCCAAATCCTCAGAGGCATTGCAATGAAGTTCATTTACAACTAAGGGCAGGAGGAACTTTTAACACAAAGGGATATGATGCTCTAGCAGTCAAGCCATGTTGTCAAAGATAGAAATCACTTAGCTACTAGCAACCAAATAAGCAAGATGGGAATGACCTGACCTCTTTGTGATCTCTTTTATGATCATACAGTATATTTTATGTTAGATTATCTGAAGATAAAGTTCATGAAGGTATCTTGGGTGTTGTTTTATCTAGTAGTGTGTTGCTGAAAGGCGAATGAGATTATTTGCTGTAAATGTGGAATTTCCTAATGCATTATTTAAACTATTCACGTTTTATTAAAGCACTGCATACTATGGTGATAAAAGATTACATGCTAAATGTGCTAGCAAGGACTCAGATACATTACCTTCTATTTACACGAATACATGAACTTTTAATTGTTATTTACTTTAGTTTTCAATGGAACGGATTTTAATAGCTAAAGATACACGGGTGTCAAATGTCATGCCAATAAAGTGTGCGCACTACTCCTTTTCTCTTATAGATTACAATGCCAGAGTCAAAGTATTATGTTCCCTTGATGTACTGTAGTCCTAGACTATTGTCGCTACCCGCTCAAAGACCCACATTTCAGCCATTTCACCGCTCCATTTTAATGTATTATTTTAATATTGCAATATGAATTATTTAAAATATTAAGATATTGTCCTGTCATCAGCAGTAGGTTTAAATTACTTGTTGTCATTATCTCATACACGACGGATAGATGGTGAAGCTGAGCACTAACGAATTTAAAACGTGCTGTAATTTGGACACTCTCCCTAACTGTGAGCTTTTTCTCTACCGCAATGCTTTGCTGACGATCCCTAAACAGAGGTATGGTTAATATGTGAGGACGCTCCTTGCTCCCCATTCATTTTTTTTTTTCGCAGAAGCGGCTGCGGCTCCCCCTCAAATTGAGGCTCTGGATTTATCCTTAGGTGCAATTTTATTAAATAAAACAATCAAAAAAATTAAGCCGCAAATGCCAGCTGTAAATAATACTATTACGCCGTGATAAGATTTGAATTTTAAAGATTTGATTTAGGAGCTATCTGGCACTTCCTCACTTCAGTGACAGGCGTTATCTATTCTAGTGCTTTCATGGTGTAGTACAGCTCGGTAAAGATTTTATGTTGTAAATTAAGTAGGATTTTTATTTTCCATATCGCTTTTAAATTTAATTTCTTGTATAATGCGGAAATATTTTCGAGCACCGAAAAGGTCATTTTTTGGTCTGCTGTTTCTGTTTTCTCTCTCCACCTCCGCAATTTACTTCATCTATTCAGCACCGGGAATCGGTAAGGGATTTATCCTCATATTAAATTAACTGATGTTAATTGAATATAATTTTATATTGCTGAGCGTGCAATACGGAGTAATGGAGTAATAGGCATTCAGTTGGGGAGTAGTCTGTGCTTTGCTTAATCTGTGTGAATGTAGTAATCACACCGCGATTCTGCACCTGTGTCCGGTAATGAAATAGGCTGATATACTGTCTCTGAAATATATACTGTACGGAAGGAAGAATTCATGATGTTCATGAGTTCATTTTTACAGAAACAAAACATGCATTTTTATGTTGAAACGGGTAGCCTGGTACGGGTAATATTCTAGCATTAAAGGATTACCTTCCCGTAATATAAGCTAAACTAATATGTTAATGTTTTAACTAAGATTCTGGCTGATTAGGTGAAATTCGAATGGTCTGTCTATATACAGTATGCTGATTCACTTACAAAACACTCTCATTCAGTACAGTATTGCCTGTTTATAATTTTAGCAGTAGACATCGCTGTTTTCGACGCATCGTTATGATTATAATAATTTGTAGTTTTCATTATTATTTATTTAACTGCAGGCTTTATCCAAAGTTGTTTTGACGTCCATCTATCAACGAACCTTAAAATAAATACATAAAGCAAATATGTACAGTATAGAGTGGTTAAAGCAGTAATTTAAGATAATGTAATACAACGCCGGAAACAAAAGGAGGTTCAGAAATTGTTACAGTGCTACGTTGTATCATGGGCTTTAGAACACTTAATTATTATTGCTGGAGTTATTATTATAGTACTGAAATAGGAACTAGTTCAAAAGAGCCTCCAAAACAGAGATGTGTATTCTGTGACCTAGGATGTGTGTATAACACACCAAGGAAGATATTTTCTCTGTAATTGTAAATCGTATTCATTATTTTAAAATATTAGTATTTCATGTATATGTTGCAGTACTTTTTTATTTTATTTTAAGGCAGAACAGTGAGAACCTACCATAAGATGCAAGGTTGAACTGTTAGCTGTGGATTAGGGACTACGTTTTCACCCACTGCTTGTTAACCCCGTAAGGTGCAGTAGATGGTTTTTATTTGTGCTCTGATCAGAAAAGATTTTCCCTTCATTTGGGTCTCAGTAGTTTTGTCACTGGGGATGTTTTTTGTGTTTACTTGGGAGATGAAATTCACACTGGTCTTTCGGTCCTTTTTGAAGCCATATCGGTAAGCACTCTGGTTGGGCCTTTACTTTCAAATCTTGAGGGATACTATATTTCAGCCATTTCACTGTTGCAGGAAATTCAAGGCCATGCTGATACAACAAGAAAGAGCCATAAAAATTGGTAATGTAGCTCCATGAGCCAACATAGAGCTATACTATGATTATTTTTTGTATCATTTGCAATTGGAATCTTCAGGGCCAATGTAATGTGTTTTCCCTTGACCTTCAAGACCGCCTGTGACTTGTTAAAACCAGATTAGTGTTGTGTATTGCTCATTTTTTTGTTTCAAATTCTCTGCAGGTTCAAACAAGACTAACAAGTACTATAGAGAATTTGAGACAGAAAAAATCTCCACTTCTACATTTAGAAAAAAAGGGAATTCGGTGGAATGTTGTTCTCTGTGAATCAATCCCACCTCTAAACAGTAAACTTTAGTGTCGTGGCTGAACAACACATCTCCTAGAAAGGAGAGCAATTTTGTGTGATGTTAATGAATGAGAAATATTACGCAGGTCAGGTCTGTGTTTTGCTGAAAACTGAAGGTTACGTTGTTCCTGTTCAAGGAAAAAATGCAGCTTACATTTAAAATATCTAAAGCTACAGTATCTATATCTAGATATCCGAGATGAGAGTGCATGTGTTTATTTTCATCTGAGGAAGCTTCCTTAACATTGTGTCTTTTGTTTCGTCTGTGTGAACTGTTTTAATATGTTTGGTAAAGTAAGAGATTAACAATTCAGTAATATTTGGTTTCAGGAAGTGGGATTGCTTTCTTTTTGGACCTGTGTTTGTATACATTGACACCAGATCAATACATTCAGCATGTACTAAATTATTTGAAGATATTCCTGGCCTAGGCAATGCTCAGCACATCTATAACTAAGGGTGTATCAGAGCTAAGCTGGTCGCAGCTGGATTGTAATAGAGCAATTTAATTAAAACACAGGAGAATCCTGCAAGATTTCATCAAGCCCTTTATACGAGAGGAAACACAAGAGCAGCATAGTGCTTTGAGTAAGAGGAGTCACTCAAGCAAGAAACTACTGTATTTAGGATAGCCCATCATTACACAATCTTGATGCACTTTACTACCAGATCTGAAGAGGGCAGTGATTTACAGGTATATGTTTTGAAAATATTTATTTTTGTATAAATATTTTTGTTCTTACAATATGTGGTAACTGTATTAACGTAGCGTAATCTTAACTTGCAAGTGTTTTGTTTTATGAAATGTTATGACCACAGGGTATTAAATACCTTTACTGCTATTGGGAAATCACGAAATCAGTCGGATTAACAGACCACATGTCCATTTTGCGCAATTATCAGTTCAGGAGTTAGAAAGATTTCATGTGGCCGTTTCTAATGAGGCGTATGTGTCACTGCCTCTTTCGGGTGAACTTTCACCTGTGAGGCAGGGAACTGTTTGAAACCAACAGACTGACATGCTCTCACTTCTTGCAGTTTTGTTGCTCTGCTGCTGATTATGGGCAGTGGTTTGAATGCTGAAAACAAAGTATATTAGGTGCTCTTTGCACTTCATGTTCATTCTGTATGCTGGTCACAGACACTAAGCAGTGAATTTCAAGAAAGAAAATTCCTCATTTTAGTGTCCATCTGCTACCATTGAGGAGGCTCATTTCCCCCCTTCCCAGAATCATATTTACTCACCACATGTCTGATAATCTTCATTAAAAGCTTGAGGAGAATGAGAGGGGAAACCCAGATGAAAACAGGTTTCAGGGCCAAATTCTAATTCTGGAGTCTACAGTATGAATTGTGCCACATGAACTGGTGACTTAATATTTCAAATAATGTGTTTCCCAGCAGAATGCAGTGTTGAATATGCAAAAGAATTGGAGGAAAAGGAAGTATTATGAATATCCTGTCATTAAATTGTTAGTCAGTCCATCAACTCTTAGTAGGAAGTCTAGCAATAGTTAAAATTAGATTTCCTTTCTAAGATGATTCCTGTTTGTTTGTGCTTAAGATGTGATTTTATTCACTTCACTAGGGTTAATATTTTTAATTTTTCTGTCAGGAAATATTTGCTGCTTTTCTGGGAATCTCTTGGCCAGGTGTAGACGATGGGGAAAGTGTATACCTATCTGACTTAACCATGATCAAAATCATGAATCATAAGTACATTTTTATTTGATTTCTTTAAAATGTAGTGCGAAGCCCTGATTTGCTATAAAATCATACTAATGCTACTAATCTGTTTTGTTAAACTACAGCTAATGTTTCTTTAGCTAAAATATAGATAATAATGATTATCGTGTTAAGTGTGGCCTTTTGCCTAAAATTGCTAATTAGGCAGTAAATACTCCATCGGATGAGGGTACTATTCAGATTCTGTTTGCTAAAAGTCCGAGGCAGTACTGATACCCCTTAAATGATTCTTTGTCTGCTCTGCTGGAGAAATTGGCGCACAAAAATTACATGTTTTTGTTTATTGACCTCTTTATAAACCCTAAGTACAGGCTTGAAATAACCACCTTAGTCTGCATGGTCAGGATTTTATGGTTACTAGTTGTTTAGTGCCCTAGGACTGAGACTGATTGAGGAGGTTGCAGTGATGATTTACACTATGTGGTTGTTTTATCCCTGGTATTAAAAATGAGATCAAATTCAGTTTTTGGTGGCGTCATGCTATCCTACTGCATGGTACTCGCCGATTAGGGTTTGTGTATGTGTTGTTTGAGGCAGATTAAGTGCCTCTTGAGCCAGAGATACTGTGGTGACAGCATGTAAAAGGCCAAAGTTTCATTCCTAGACACAGTAAAGGTCCTGTAGTACCTGACATGAAACCAGTGAGGGTGCAAGCGGAGGAAAGTCAACTGGGGTGTATGTTGTTTAATATATTACTTGATGATGCAGTGCTGTCACAACAGTTACTAATCACAAAGTACAACCCTGAGTTTGTAATGTTTTTCACATGGTCTTAATCTTTAGGAGAGTTATAAATGCTGAGTACAGTACATGACTCGTAATGTACTGTTTCCCTTTGTGGGAAGCTGTCATAGGATCTCGATGACCAAAAAAACATCTGGATTCAATTTTTAATATAGAATGCACGTTTGTCATAAGATCTGACACCCAGAAAGGCATAATTAGATTAAACTGTGGTTTTCTGCATCTGAGTGAGTTAAAAGCAAACAATAGCATTAATGAAGTGGTGAATACCACAGAAAAGTACAGCGCCAACTTTTCTTTCCTGTAATTACTTATTTTTGCTTTTCTTGTCACATGCTTGGAAAGACAATTATGGAATTGTCAGGCCATGCCTGTCTGAGGTCTTGTAATTTTAATCCTCCTCATGATGAAGACTTAGTGGTTTGCAATAACCTACCTAATGCAACATAATTGCAGGGACGGACCAAGGGCAGCCGAAATGCCTGTGCTTTTTTGTAAGGGTATAGGTACTGTACAGTATATAAAATAACAAGAGGATACAGGTTTTATTTTATAGATGCCTTTACTAAAGCAAGAACCATTTCAGGTGTGCCAATGCTTTGTGACCATGCCACATCTGGAAAAAAGTTTAGAAGATAGAAAAAGAAAACCAAGATATGGAAGTATCTAAATGTTAATACTTCAAGTATTTGTATAAAGTTTATAAATGTACAAGATTTGGGGGGCACACGATCATTGTGTATCATGTGCCCCATTTAAAATGACAGTGTGCATGCCTCTGCTCAGAGACCAGCTTCTATGTTAAGACTGAAGGTACAGTATGCAACAGAGTACAACAGAGGCCTCTCAAAGTGCTTATTGAAACAGTATGGACTTTCTTGCCTCCTTT